CACACACACAGACCATACAATATTTTTTTTTAATTATAAAAACTCTATGATAAAAAATTTCAAATTCCGCAATAATCTTTTAATTTTAATGTAGAATATTTCTTTTGGAGGGCATGAATATGGAATATTAAATATTCAGGAATAGAAATCATAAAAAATTTGGAAAAGTCTGAAAGTAAAGATTTATTTTCATTGAGATGACTAATTGAAAGGAGAAATATATTTTGATAGACAAAAATATAATGGAGGTCTGTGTATAGTGAGATGCCATTATGCATCATAAATATGTTAGGAATGCTTTCTGGAGAGTACATCTTTTGAACAGGTGCGGTGGCAGACCGAGATTTTGAGATTGGCAACAACCAAAAATGTCATTGAATTCATTTTTGATTCTATTTTTACAAAATATTCCTAATCTCCGACCTCTTTATTCTCCACATACCAATTTTGAATCGAATCTAATCATAATCACAAAACTCGTCCGCCATCTTGAATTTGAGATTTGTCTAAAAATTCACAATCCCGGATATCTAAAACCCCCACATATCAGTTTTCAATCGAATCGGATCAAAATCACTAAAATCGTAGCCATCTTGGAGCCGCCATCTTGATTACCGGTGTGAACTTGGCAGCTAAAAGGTACCAGCCAAAATCCCGAAAACACCCGAGCGCACATAGACGTACGTCGAAAAATTATTACGGAGAAATAAACATTAAAAAGGTGAAAAATGATTGGAAGCTCTATTATTATCCCTGAAGGAACACCTCGGGCAACTCTTTCGAATGTGCCTACTAAAAAAGCAGAATAAAAAAAATTATAAATAGGGGATGAGTACATTTGTAAGAAATTATCTATCACTGAAAACATGTTTTGTTATCAGACGTAGTAGATGAGACCAGCAGTTAGAAGGGCTCAAATAGTGAAATAGTTGAAGGGGGTCACATGGAGACATACCTATAAAATCGAAACTCCTAGAAGAAAAAAAGCCTGTCAAATGGGGATAAAATTCAAAACTGAATCGTAAGTCATAAAAAGAAAAATCCTCTCACCATAATTTTATGTTAAACAGTATAATATCATTTTCAAAATCGATTTTTCTAACATAAAATTATGGTGAGAGGATTTTTCCTTTTATGACTTTCGATTCAGTTTTGAATTTTATCCCCATCTGACAGGCTTTTTCCTTCTAGGAGTTTCGATTACTTTTTATAGGTATGTCTTCATGTGACCCCCTTCAATTATTTCACTATTTGAGCCCTTCTAACTGCTGGTTTCATCTAACACGTCTGATAACAAAACATGTTTTCAGTGATAGATAATTTCTTACAAATGTACTCATCCCCTATTTATAATTTTTTTCATTCTGTTTTTTTAGTAGGCACATTCGAAAGAGTTGCCCGAGGTGTTCGTTCAGCGATAATAATAGAGCTTCTAATCATTTTTCACCTTTTTAATGTTTATTTTTCCGTAATAATTTTTCGATGTACGTCTATGTGCGCTCGGGTGTTTTCGGGATTTTGGCTGCTACCTTTTAGCTGCCAAGTTCACACCGGTATCTTGATTTTAGTAATTTTGACTATCAATTCTTAATATCTGGCTCCAAAATCCCACAAATTAATTTTCAATAGACTCAGACCATAATCATATATCATGTCCATTTTATTTTCTTTTTCTGTAACAAAAATTTCATTATGCATTGTCACGGAAATTATGAAGATTTGCCAAATTCCAAGAAGTTGAACAAATGTTACTTTACAGGATTTGTACAGAACAAACAGACAAGAAAGCGAGTCAATAAAAAACGTAATGAAAAATCATGACCCTAAAAGCACCTGTATACCAATTTTAAATGGAATCAGACCATAAATCACCTAGCTTATCCACCATCTTGAATCTTGTAAAAATATCTAATCTTCGACTTCAAAATACCAATTTTTAATAGAATCGGAATTAAAACTCTTCATCTATCATGAATGTTGATGAAAATCTTTCAATTCACCAAACTCAACCTCTATGTTTCTTCTATTGTATAAACATAAATGTTAATGCATTGTCACTCGAATGATTTGTATCTCTGCCATATTTCAAGATAATTGGATAAGTGGAATTGCCTCGAAACAATATACCTGAATATCTGTACTTGGTTATTATTTTTCAGTAAATCTGTAATTTCAAACATCTAAAACCATATCTCGACTTTAATTCAGGTCAACATTATTTCATTCATAATTTTTTTTTGACTTTCATCAATGAAAGTTTTGCTTTCCTTCCGATGAAGGCGCCACATTACGGGATACAATTTCACAATTTCTAGTAAAAACAGTATAGATGGCTCTGGCAACCTCCATCCAATGCTTTTTACATTGTGGTTGACCGACTATAAATCTTTAGAGAATGGTATCGCATCTGTCACAAATATCCCTAGAAATCAAACATACCAATCCCTAGATTCCTGAGAAACTCAATTTTAACCATAAAATAGTTATTAGGGACCTTTTTTTTTAAAAAAAAAAGATATGCAGCTGGCAATGTCTGCGTAGTTCAAAATATCTGAAAAACCCATTTCAACTCTCGAAATCTTCAGCAATTTGTTAAAAATTGAAGGACAATTCAATTGAACACTATAGACGCCCCCTGAATTTGGCAGCTGCCAAATCTAGTGGAAACGAATTTCGCGAATATGGCAGACAAAAAGCGAAAAGTTATAATTAACCCGTGTCTCTTGGCAAATAGTTTGATGAAACTGCCCTTCAAACAATTTGAAGAAACCAGTGGGAATGACGTCACTTCAAAGTAATATTATTCAACAGTACGACGGTGAGCCACAATCTTCAATAAAATAATGGAAAATATTAACGTTATGGATTCTATTGAGTTACGTAAATCAACAAACAAAGTACGTTCTGCTGTTTTACGTTATGATGAATTGAGATTATGACGACTTACGTTTCTCTGCATTGCGTATTCTATATATTACGATTATGATCTTGTAGCGTTATGATACATTGCGATTTCTCTCCTTTGATGTTATGATGGAGTACATTGATGAATTACATGGACCCGTTGTGATCTTGTCACGAGCGAAAGTAATGACGTCATGAATGACGCTTAGTGGAACGCACGGTAGGTAATTCTGTGTTCTGTGCCACGTTTGCATATTGCATATGCATTCATTGCAGACATTTTAGTTTTTGAGTTTTCCTAAAAGTGCACTAAGAGTTCCAAATTAAATTTCATATTCAAAATTCCCGTTCTTTCACTTTTTTGATAAGTGTAAATAGAATATATGGAACGAGATCAATGCTTATTTTGGAAGATCACAAGTTCTTTTGTGAAATTTCACAGCAACTTCAACAATGGAATTTTATCCTGAGGTAAGATGAGGTCTCTTTTTCAGTAACTAGGTATGCATCACCGACATGGTTATGTCGATGGTATGCATATTGCATTGCAGACATTTAATTTTTTGATTTTCCGTGAAACAGCATTATGACTTCCAAACTAAATTTCATATTCAAGATTCCCCTTCTTTCATTTTTTTTTGATAAGTGTAAATAGAATATATGCAATGGGATCACTGTTTCTTCTGGAAGATCACAAGATCTTTTGTGAAATTTTACAGCAACTTCAAACAAAGGAATTTTACCCAGAGGTAAAATGGGGTGTCTTTTTCAGTAACTAGAGAATGTATTTGATTTTTTATACAAAAGGCAGCATTTTTTTTTGGTTTCAACTATGCATTTTTCAAAAAAACATGTTCCTGTACCAAGAGGAAAAAAGTTGAATTGTATTTATTTCTCATTTGCTTTCAAAGATGCAGAGTATTTGAAAAGATGTGCTTTTGAAAATCAAAAATGATCTTTTGGTTATATTTTATCTATTCCATTAAATTACTTTTTGTTTTCGAAAGAAAATCTGTTTTATACATTTATATTTAACTGGATTTTTAAAAGATCGCGACATAAGATTTGAGGAACAAATAAAAAGACCCAGAAAACTAAAATGAATACTACTCGTCAAGTCGGTCACTTGTGAAGCAAAGTTTCGACATTGATCGCTGAGCAAGATTCGTCTTCTGTCTTTAATTGTAAGGTAACTAGTTTGAACCTGAATAGAAAAACAAAGCATTTGTGAAAGAAAAGGGAGATGGATTCACCTTACTTATTCAGGTTTGTCTTTCAAGAAGAGTTCAGTCTAGAAATGCTTTCGTGTTTTACCCCCAACACCACTGATATACATGCTGGTCGAAACAGCAATGTTTGAGGTTGGATCGTGAATGCTTTGTTTTTGAACTCTAGTTTCAACCAGATGCCTTGAAGTGAACGAGGAAGAATCTCGTTCTGCAGTTGAATGTTGAAGCTCAGTTTTGCAACTTTACTGCCTTGGGTGGCCTCTTTTATCTTCTATATTTGTGGATTCAGTCTTTTGTCTATCCGACAGATGGCATCTTCATAAGAAGAAATGTCATCATGCTTACTAATTCAGTGTGTTGGATTTTCATAAATTTTTCAATAGCAAAATGTTGAATTAATTTGCCTATATTCGATTAATAAGAAAACCATTTTCACAAATTATAAACAGCGTTTCAGTAAAACCCATTAGAGATTTGTTTTAAATAAATGTTTGATGTGATTTTGTAAATTGGCATAACTTTTTTATTTATATGTCGATTGAAATAAATCAAACACTAAATATGAACTGAAGTTTGTCACAATATTTTAGTGAAAAGCACAACTAATCGCTTGAGCAGTTTCTGAAATAAGAGTGCACAGACAAAAAGAACCCCTTACTTTGGTTGTGTAAAGTGGCGACTGTTCAAAATTTATGAAAGTTTGGTATGTGTTGTACTCGATCTGGAAACCAAAATTATCAATGGCCCCAACCAATCCCATGGCTGATTTTCTACACACAGAGTGTTGAATTTGAAAATTGCCCAGTTTTTGGAATCAACTTTTTTAGATACAAATTAGATTGGATTTCTGTTGCTTTCAGGCATTCACTACATGTACTCTTAATAAATTAGTGGCTACATATGACTAAAAATATTTATATTTACAAGGTGTGGCTCTAATCTCAAAAATATTTTAGGTGGTTTGTATATACTTACAATCAGGACTCTACAAAAAACTGTTCTTCCACTCAACGTTCATGAAGTCGAATGTATCAGTCATATTGATTTTGATCAATATATTTATGTTCAATATTGTTTTTCAGGTAACTGGCTTCTCAAATTTGAAGATAGAGCTGTGTACTGCTTACATTCTGATAGGGATGAATGGATTGATTCATAGCGTAGTTAGTTGTAATTGGAGAGCTGTCCATTAATTAGCCCATCAATGGAATCGTTGCATATTCTTCAATTACAGAAGGTAACTAATTATTAATTTGTCAGTTATGTAAGCTATTCTCCTAGAAAATTGAATTTAAATCTGTAGGTTTTTGTGAGGTATGGGTTGAGTTATGAATATGAAGAGGAAAATTCAACAAAAGCATTTGAAATGGTTGAAAATAAAAATGTTTTGTACATTACTCCGCAACTATGTAACCAAACAGCTTCAGTGCTGAGTTTAATATTCGGGCTCACTTGTATTAACCAAGATAGCAAGTAATATTTTTGAAGAATCTGGAAAAATGTTCAGATGTATTGAGAAATTTACTGTTGAATTGCCTCTTTTAGTTCTAATCAGTAATTTTTTCAATAATTTTGAAATTCTGCAAAAAATTTGATTTTTACAAAGACTCACATTTTGATTTGTAACATCCTTGGATCAAGCAAGCTGGTCAACAAAAAAACATATCTCATATTGGTCAGATCAAATTGTTCCATGGAATATACACCATTGAATTTGAAGGTCCTGAAATCAATAATAAATAGTTAAGGATAATAATACAACTCTTGTAGCATGATTAAAACATTTTGGAAAAATATACAGTTCCATTCAATTTTGAGTCGGTGTATGAGGATTTCTATACGGTAACATAGGTTAAAATTCTAGTTTTCACTGTATCTTTATTTGCGTCAATACTAGAGATGTGTTGACACTTTTCTATTGCAAGTTTTTTTATACTTTCATAATGAAAAATCAAATGGGTACCTGTATTTTTTGTAGCAAATCGTTAATTGGTAATGTTAATATTCTATCGTGAAATTAAACCTATTTTCAATGATTTTGAGTTTTGGTTATTTGATTGTTATCATATTAACTATTATTTTTTTCTTACGGCTGTGATAGTCACTCGAATGGAAGCAATTTTTACTCTCACTGTGTACCTCAGCTGACTCCTAAAAACTTCCCAAGTTTCTGAAATGTGTTGATATCACAAACTTCTAATTTTTCCAGTGAGGTTTTTCCATGTTGTTTAATATGCAGAAGTTTAACAATAATTGCAACTTTTCTATCCATCTTCCATTTCGGTTCTCAAGGTATCAGTCTCTAAATAGAAAAATTGTTTGAGAAAAATAAGCTGGTACTGACCTCAAACTGCTAATGGCAATTTATTGTTCCCATTTCAATGGTCACATGAAGATTTTGATGGGAGTTGCATAATCCAGAAACCAATAATACAGACTATTAATGAGGATAAATCATTAGTTTCTTAGAATTCATGTAGATCATAAACTCACCTAAAAAAATCATATAAACAATCTAGTATCCAAATTAATCAGTGTTTGTTTTGTCATTCGACAACTTCATGGCACTGTCACTTCAGATATTCTTGAAAAAGTATTAAACATTGACTTGCTAATTCCTTATTGAGGTCTGGCCTAGTATTCTGGGGTGATTCAGCTCATGTTCATGAAGTAATAGGAAATATAGGCTAATCTTCAATAAATACAAAATTGTTTTTATTAACGGGAAAGGGTTAGTAATTGAAAATTTTTCCTAATACATTTAATTTAAAAACGCTTCTCGCTACGCGATACCTCTATCAGCTTCTGGTACATCAAACTATTCTACAATATCTTTTACATAACAGTAGGTGATGAAAAATGATTAATGAATAATTCTGGCAAAATAGGTAGATTTATAAATCACCGTTAATATCTACACCATTATTTTTATTGAAACATTTGTTGTGTAAATATGTTAACTATTGACTATTTTATGAGAATAAATGCAATAATGGTGAATGAATAACTTCCAGAGAGTCTTGCAGGTTTAATTTTTGTCTTTTATTTCTTGTATGTAATGTGTCACAGTCTATTTTGAAATCGTCATCGCCAGATACCAATTTTGAATAGAATTGGACCATAATCACAAAAGTTGTCCGTCATAATGGAGCCGCCATTTTGTTTTGTTTTTTTCTAACAAAAATTTCATGATGCATTTTGGTCGAAATTATCTACACTTACCAAATTTCAAATCAATCGGATGATTAAAAGTGTGTCAAATTTAACTTGCAAGATTTGATTACAGACACACAGTCAGATACGATAAAGGTGAAACTAAATAAAATCTGGTAAAAATAAAAACTTTGACAAGTTGTTTTACTGAGTTACTGTGGCAGCGTACCGACACCACTGCTTTGGAATGAATCATGGAAAAGGTTGGATAATCAAAGGCGACTGGAGGAGTATGAATCAAGCACCGAGCGAGTGCAGATCTCGGGGATTAAGTTGGGATTTTGATTGTTAGTCTTGGGAAGTGAATAAAGTGTTAAGTGAAGTGTTGCCTTATCATTACACACAGTGGGTCAGCACAGTTACCAATTAGTATTTTTTCTTTTTCAGGCAACATCACATTGCCTGGTCTGAGCCCAAAATCACTAAGTAACAAATTTTTGTGCAGCAGACATTTCGACCCACGATTTCTTCAACACAAACGGTTGCCAGCATTATTAAATGAGGATGAAAACATTTTTAATACAGTAGAGGACAGTTCTCTAGAGACCAGCGAGGAAGAGGAGGAGGAGGAGTCTTCAAATTCAAGTAAAGCATCAGAAACATGGAATGCACTTGCAGATACAATAGATTATTTTTCCGCAGCAGTGGAATCCTGTGCAGTAGTATAGGTACCTTGCTCGTTACTTAGTAAAAAAATGTTTAGACCGATTTAAATGTCGTGAATGTAGAGTTATTTTACAAAGCGAGAAAGATTTGGCAGATGATGATGAGTTATTGACTTTTTACAAAAATTACAATTTTCAAAACTCAAGTGGTTTGAAAACGCCCTCAAATTTTATGAGGCAATTCATATAAGAGAATGCTGTGTTATAACCAGTATATCAAAAAATACTGTGCCAAAAACATAATCAGCAATATTAGAGAACAATCAAATAAACAACTTTTTAAGTATCTTTCTGAATGGTTTGAGGCACAAGAAAAATGTAAAGAACACTGAAAATATATTGTTGATCTGTTTTCAAATAGGTACTGTAAAGATATTTCAAGGAGAATAAAAACAAGAGCAGGGACAAAAAATGACAAACTTAGTATTTTAACATAATTAGTTATAGTAATCAAATACCAACTAAAACAATCTTTGCTACTGAATCCACTATATGATATAAATGAATTTTTTTTTCATTCATGGGTTTTAATACTTATTTTTTGCTTGTTAAGAGTGTGGACTGCAGATTTTGTGATTCATGTTTCTGTGTTTTCCATCTGCGTACCTCTAAAGTTAAAACTGTTCATATATGTACAAGTGTGACTGGTTTTATATATGTAAATATCTAATTTTTGATACTCTAGCAATTTTTTTTCTTTATTCTTATATATTTTTTAGTTTGAGAATACTCTCTACAATATTGTGACGTACCTAATTTATGCCCGACGTTTCGTCTACTACTACGGTATATATCAGAGGCGATGTGGTAACGGTCGCAGTGCCTATAGTTGGTTATCGAATCGTTATTCCCGTTCCGAACGCGGTAACTTGCATTGCTGGAATTTGACCTTGGTTTTATATTATTATATTAGTGGGCGTGGCTTGCTTTCTCTTAATTGGATTACCTGATCTTGTTCGTGTACCTGTGAGGACAGGTAGCCAGATTTTATTAATGCTCACTGCCTCTTCTTTTCTATTAAAATTATCCCTGTGTATTACTTTCGAATGAGATAATGTGAGTGCCTTCTTTGATGAGAGCATGTTTGGCTACAGTGTTAGTACCCGTCTCTCTGAACACAAGGGAAATTGTCGACTCGGACAAACCGACAAATTAGCTGTAGCCGAACAGGCTCTCAACCAAGAAATCACTCACATTATCCCACTCAAAGATACAGTAATACTTTATGAAACTCAAAATTACTATCCAAGAGTATATAGAAAGGCAATAGAAATTCAAAAACACAGGAATAATTTCAATAGAAAAGAAGAGGTAATGAACATCAACAAAATCTGGCTACCTGCCCTTACAGTTAAGCAAACAATGTCAAATAATCCAATTGAGAAAAACCAAGCCACGCCCCCTGGTAATAATATAAAACCAGAGTCAAATACCAGCATCGCAGTTATCGCGTTCGGGACGGGAACAACGATTCGAGCACCAACTCGGGCACTGCGACCGTTACCACATCGATGTAAAATCCCTTCATTTAAATGGAAATTGAGGTTAAATCTCCAGTATGATTTCAAGACAGTTGAAAAGATTATGAACACCTTTCAAAGGTTATAGTCGAAGTTGTTGAAACACTCGTGTTCATTGGGAAACTTAAATGAGTTTGGCAGCAAGTTATTACTGATAAATGGAATTTAATATTGTCTATGGAAATAAAAGTCTAAAACGTACTTATTGTGACATCGTTTCAGGCTGAGAACTGATCACAGTGCAGATAAACTGCATCAGTATAACTTCCAGGAAGCACACCCAATGACTGAAAAAAAAACAATGTTTCAAATAGCACTGCTAGTATTGCTAAAGGCTAAAAACTTAATTAGCTAATACACAAACATATCTCCATTTATGAATATTGTTTGAACAATCATTACTATCCCACAGCCTGGAAAGAAGGATTGATAATTGCCATACCAAGGCCTGCAACTATAGACCCATTACTCTTCTGCCAGTGTTAGGAAAAAACTTTGAGAATATCATCAAATATCAACTCGGTGAACATATCAATATACTGTTACGATATTTTCTTAATCACGAGTACTCAATGTTTTACTATTCAATATCGCCCCGTATGTGGCTCCACATAAAAATAAGTTGAACATAAACTTTTTGCGCGCGGGAAAAAACACCGGATAATTCGAGACGGGATCCGCGGAGATTATGTGAGGAAGTTGAATAGATATCGGCTGTACGAATGAACAAAATTGTTATCGTATTATATGGATAAGTCACTCAAATTGCCTTATGCAATATTGGTATTATTTATGGTTAAGACTGGTGTATGGTGTATGCACAATTCTGTGAAACAATA